ATGATAAAAACAACGAATTTGGGTCGGAAAGCAGATGATAAAAACAACGAATTTGGGTCAGAAAACCGATGATAAAAACAACGAATTTGGGTCAGAAAGCAGATGATAAAAACAACGAATTTGGGTCGGAAAGCAGATGATAAAAACAACGAATTTCAGCATATGTTTACAAGCGAATAGGTCAAGTACATTTTTTGAGTCATCTTTGATGATTGAGCCTTCAGAAGCTTCCAGAGCTGCCATATTTCTTTTTTTACGGAATTGTCGCTTTAAATTAATAGTTTCCGTTTGATTGGAGTTCATATACGCTGTAGATTAGCTCTAGCTTTCTTAATTAAAAGTTTTGACCTATGGTCTCATTTGCGCGTTGTCTCTTACGGATTCATCTGATTAAGTTGGTAGGTTATGAGAAAGTAAACCATCAAAAATGCAAGAGTTGTGAACAGGAATATCACTTTTCCTTTCTGGTTCAGATGCCGCGCTTTCTTCAGTCCCTACATTATGTTATTTTAAAACAAAATTAAAATATTCTTTTAATTATAATTAATAAAAACAGAATTTTTACCTTTTCCTTTTGATTCTCCAGCACAACTTCAAAAATGATGAGAAAAAACACACTATTCGTTCATATTTTAAATTTTTATGAAAAGTAAATTCAAAATGTAATTATTTTTTAACAGTGGTGCAGTAATGTGCAAATACTGAAATTATTTCTGATCATATCTATATATTGTTTTAGTCATGAGACTTTAGTATTAAAGTTCTAAAAAAATAGAATTTATAAATTTATAAAACTTCTTTTATGTAATTGAATATTGTATTAAACTGGTATTGCTTAATTTTATTGAAGTAATCATCGTGCTGTGTTGAATCAGCTTTATATAGAACTATATGCTAATTTTTTTGATTTAATGAAAATAAAAAATAAAATTAACTTAATAGGTTTGCTTTATCAAAAACCATCCTAAAGTAAAAAGACGAAGATAGAGCATAATCGTAAAAGCCATGAACCCTCTTCATAAAGAGAGTATTGAAATATTTAATATTTAATTATTAGAAATTTTAAATCTGAATCCTTGTGATGAAGAATAGAAACCATATATCTATCATAATAAGACCAGAAGTAGTTGGAACACTGGTCTAAACAAAATTGCGTATTTTTAAAGGAAAAGAAAATGGTCGAGAGTCGACCTACCTTAATTGTTGCAAGTAGTGAAACCAGGACAAGAAGAGCTGTCATTGCACCCATCACTCGTTCATTAAACAACTCAACCTTCAACAAAAACATTTGTTCATTTTATGAATACCTAGCTTGGGAACCCATCACTGCCAAGGTTACTAAAAGTTAATCCTGCCGTTTACCCGCACTTGAACAATTTTACTGGGAAACTAAATTTTCGCTATTAAAGTCGACCCACTCAACTTACAATCTCTATATCATAAGCTAAGAACATTACCCCCGTGGCTCTCCTGAGTTCCCCAATCAAAATTTGAGACAAACCGGTCGAGGGGTTCCTAAATTATGATAGGACAAACAAACAAACACCCAAACAGAGATTACAACTTTGTATCTATATATAAATTTGGCTTGTTTGTCTGTCTGTTTGTTTGTATCCAATAAACGTCAAAACGGCTGAACCGATCGGGCCCAAATTTTTTGTGGGACATCTAGGGACTCCAGGGAAGGTTTATGAATACTAAACTAATTTGTAATTTGTAAATTGTAAATTGTAAATGCCTACGCGTATAATGGCAATAGTTTAATTTTTACTAAACTAATTTGTAAATTGTAAATTGTAAATTGTAAATTGTAAATTGTAAATTGTGAATTGTTAAAGCCTAAGCGTATAATGGCAATAGTTTATTATTGACTAAACTAATTTGTAAATTGTAAATTGTAAATTGTAAATTGTGAATTGTAAATGCCTAAGCGTATACTTAAAAACTTTCATTGTGGATATCGAGTTCAGGAAAATTAGAGATATCTTCATAGACTTGATCAAGCATCATCCACAATTTAAATGAGTTTTTACTCTACTACTTTTTCAATGTTTTAATCTCCTAATCCTTAACGCTATTAACAGTAAAAATTACTTAATCTACAAGATCAAAAATATGGATTAATGCTTTTTGAAGAAGAGATTAGCTATACAAAAGTTGCGACCCCTCGGCCCTCGTCTTGATGTATTCGCCTTAACAGTACTATACCTTGATAAATAGTGTAAGATAAGCTAGAAACCGGAAGATAAAGGTCTTTTTGTATACACCTTAACAGTACTATACCTTGATAAATAGTGTAAGATAAGCTGGAATAGAAACCAGAGGATAAAGGTTTTGTTGTATACACCTTAACAGTGCTATACCTTGATAAATAGTGTAAGATAAGCTAGAAATCAGAGGATAAAGATCTTGTTGTATACACCTTAACAGTACTATACCTTGATAAATAGTGTAAGATAAGCTAGAAACCAGAGGATAAAGGTCTTGTTGTATACACCTTAACAGTACTATACCTTGATGAATAGTGTAAGATAAGCTAGAAACCAGAGGATAAAGGTCTGGAAGAAGATGGATAAGATAAGCTGAGAGTAAAGTCGGTCCAGTTCAATCGTGAATATAAATAATGACTTCTTTCCTTCCACTTCCACATTCCAGCTAAAATAGATCAATATAGAAAAACTTTACGGTTTTGTTTACAGGAATGGTCTTAGTTAAATATTAAAATTATTAAAGGAACTGTAAAGGAAAAATGAAAGGGGGTATAGGCTGAAAACTAATCACTTTAGCTCTTGAACGGGACCCATGAAAGTTATATCTGATGTTCCTGTCTCGAGAAATTGATATAAAACGGTGTCAAATTTATACGAAAATTCATATATATACAATGTTGTATAGCAATAGTGAGTTTAAACAGATCATATTCAGTAAATATGCAACTAATCTGAAAACGAAGATATCCCAGAGAAACCTAATTGTAACTTAGGTTTTCTCCAGTTATTTTTTTTATAATTTCTATTTTTATTTTTAATAGATAAAGTTGATACTATATTTTATAAGTCCGTGTATTACGTCAACAAAACTCCCACCAATGGTTGTGCAGCATAGTTTTCACTCGGTCATGGGTCTCTGTCTGAATCACGTGACCCGTATACTGCACTCTCATAGGTGGAAGTTCTGGTGACGTAATACAGACTAATAAATAATATTATCAATTATATCTATTAAAAATAAAAATAATAATTGTAAAAAACCTAACTTACAATTATGTCTCTCTGGGATATCTTCGTTTTCAGATTGGTTGCATATTTGCTGAAAATGATCTGTTTAAACCTACTATTTTTATACAAAATTATATAAATGAATTTTTATATAAATTTGACACAGTTTATATCAATTTCTTGAGACATGAATGTCAGATATAACTTTCATGGGTTGCTATCAAGAGCTAAAGTGATTAGCTTTCAGTTTATACCCCCTTTAATTTTTCCTTTACAGTCCCATTAAGTAGAAGAAGTTATGTATTATGAAATTGGTACGAATTATTGAACACCCATAGTCTATATGGTAGAAGGTACCATTTATTGTATTGTTTATTTTAAATACACTTGATCTCGACAATAAATGTGGACACTTTTAAATTTTATGATAAAGACTTAAATGATTCCTCTTTGCAGGGGTATGGTTTGATACTAATGCTTGATCTCGAGATTCATGATACAAAAGTTTAGATTACTTTTTCTCTTATGTTCTCTAAATATGATGTAACGAAGTCTAATTATGCATAAGTCGTCATTTAATTTCTGGGTTTCCTGGGATTCCCTGTCCCCAATCTAACCTGAGTTGTCCAACCCTGAACTCTGTCAGCTCCTTTGGTCCCAAGTAAATGACTGCAGCATCAGAACCTGGTGCTAGTCTTAGTGTTCCTTTTCTTCCTACACTGAAAAGGAAAATCTTTTTAAAGGGAGAAGTTTTTAATTAATTATAAAAACAGATCTTAAATTCTTTTTTTAGTAAATATATTATAAACCAATATTCTTTGCGGGCTGAGATAAATTCAAAGTATAGTTTTTTTAAAGAAAAAAAGAAAAACCAAATTTTTCTTGGATCTCGGGAAAATCTGGTATTTCTAATTTATTTTGAATACCTGTGCATTATAGACACATTACATCTTTGTTTATCAAACGGAAAATTGAATATATTCATATTGCAGTGGAACTGAACCTAAATGGAAAAGTTAAATTGAACATATTCATATTGCAGTGGAACTGAACCTAAATGGAAAAGTTAAATTGAATATATTGATATTGCAGTGGAACTGAACCTAAAATGGAAAGTTAAATTGACCATTTTCTTATTGCAGTGAACCTAAATGGAAAAGTTAAATTGAATATATTAATATTGCAGTGGAACTGAACCTAAAATGGAAAAGTTAAATTGAATATATTCATATTGCAGTGGAACTGAACCTAAATGGAAAAGTTAAATTAAATATATTAATATTGCAGTGGAACTGAACCTAAATGGAAAAGTTAAATTGAATATATTCATATTGCAGTGGAACTGAACCTAAAATGGAAAAGTTAAAGGGACTGTTGGCGTAATTTCTTAAGTGACCTTCCACTTAAAGAGTGAAATGTTCTATTAACAATGGTACTTTATAAACCATTTGCGTAGATCAAGGATTAATGGAATACCCTTCTTTTTTCATGGACACGTTTTTTTTTTGATTGTGGTTTCTTTACAAAAGTGACCTTTGAATTTATGTTCCAAAGACAATGACGGAGACTATCAGAATTTAACATGTTTTAGAAAACAACGATATATTCGTCAACCTTACTCAGGAAGAGATTTAAAGGGTAGCGTTGTAAATCGGTCAAGACATTGTTTTTTCATATATGATATATTTAAAATTACATCTGTTCATTGAAATGAATTATTTCTTAACGTTCAAATAAACGTTTTCTTGGTAAACCCACCTGGTATCTTTTAGATGTAGTTAGGATCACGTTTTCCCCTGGGAACTTGATTTCTTCCATAGAATCAGAAATAGTAAGGATTTCCTTGGCAGCTGTTGTCGTTGCTTTCAGAGTAAAAAAGTCATCAGTAACAGTAGTTCCGACAATACCGTTTTCAAACATGATTTCTAGGGGCAGCCATATCAGGGATTTAGATTGATCTGAATATTTATCCACTTACTTTTTTGTAATATAAATGATAATATTTTTTTTTGAAGATGTGATAAAAATGAATGCTTTTTATCAATATAATTTTGAATATGGATATACCTGAAATTTCTGTATAGATTGTACTAGTGTTGTTATATTCCGGCAAATATTTAGCAATGATTCTCGGTTCCGTCCAAGAAATTGTTATATCCAACGTCAATGTCAACTTTGACTGCATGTTGTCAATTTCATCAAACTGTACAATTTCAACAGTTGTGAATAGATTGCTTAGACTGTTAACGAGCTGGGGTGGTTCAAGGAGATTATATCCCTCAATAGGAGTAATTATTGTACAATCGTCCTCGTCCGAGTTATCCTCACAATCTTGTAGGTTATCACAACGTTTTGTCAACGGAATGCACTGCCCGGAATTACAAGTGAACTCGGAAGACAATTTACAAATAGATACAGTTAGTTGTCGGAGTGAATTGTCTAAACCACAAAATGTATCTTGAACAACCCAGTTAGATCTGCCAATAAAGTGATCACCGCTTGTATTGGAAAAAGCCATCTCTGTATTAGGAACATTTTTTATAATCCATGTACCATTCTGTTTAGTTATTGAACCACCTACATAACCTATGTATTGATAGGTTGATACAAAGAAGTAGTTAAAAGAATATGTTGTTACATCACACAATCCCTTTAGAGTCATCATTGGAACTTTCTCAAATTCACAGATAAAGCAATGTCGGGTGTATTGGCAATAGATATCCTGTTTTCCTTGCCATTTACTGTCATCTCCCATAACTGCACAAGTGTCTATAGTTGATTTCTTTTTAAAGAAACTGAAGGAGGTGTTGTGTCCGAAATAATCAATCCATATTCGGTAACATGAATCTATGTTCTCCATTAGCATACCATGTAGTTTCTCATTCTCTTCCTCGGAATTCGGAAGTGCTAGAATACCCCCGTGGACTTTACAGAACTGATTTGCTTCATCAAAAGTACTTTGTTCCGTCATCAGAAGGTGTGTACTTTTAGAATTGCAGAGACTGTCTAGTGTGATATTTTTCAAAACAGTTCCATGAAATTCAATAAAATCCGGATTCCATGCAAGAACATTTCCTTCTAGTAGCATCTTACATCTTGCAATATCTTCAATTTCATTCTGAAGAAAATAAATAGTTCAAAAATTTGAAATGTTACATATTTATATATTACTATAAATTCAAGGCGCTTCGCACCCTTCTTTCTAGGCTTTTAAGGCGCTTCGCGCCCATCTTCTATTTAAATTTTGAACGTGTTCTTTTTGTTTACATTTAAAAACAAAACACATTTTTTTTTTATTTTTATCATTCATAAACCTTCCCTGTGGTCACGTGATGTCCCACAAAAAATTTGGGCCCTATCGGTTCAGCCATTTTGACGTTTATTGGATACAAACAAACAGACACCCGAACAGACAGACAAGCCAAATTTATATATAGATAACAAAGCATAAATGTACTACAGCAAATAATTTTGTTAATGTGTTAGAAATTAAATATTAAGATAAGATCTTTTGGTCGCAAAGTTTCTGTCATTCAATGCATGAACAAATATTTCCGCGTGCAGTGTTCCTTTTTAAGAATAAAGCATAAAGTTCTTTGATCTATTAAATTCAGTCATTTTAGAAATTATTTATGATTTGTACATTGATGTACAATGTACATTGATGTACAATGTACATTGATGTACAATGTACATTGATGTACAATGTACATTGTTAATCAATGTACATTGATTTACAATGTACATTGATTTACAATGTACATTGATTTACAATGTACATTGATTTACAATGTACATTGATTTACAATGTACATTGATTTACAATGTATATTGATGTACAATGTACATCAATGTACAATGTACATTGCTCTTTAAAAAATTAAAAAGGTATTGTAGCGACGAAAGGAATAAGACCAAATGAATAAGACCAAATGAATAAGATCAAATAAACTGACTGAATATATATTTATCAAAAACAGTATTTATACTAGATGCAGTATATCATAATCTAAACAATAACATGTGAAGTATGGAATATGCTGTGTACTGCATTCCAGGAATCCAGGGGCGCCACAGTATCATTAAAGTTGTAGATTAACAATTGTATCTATATCTTTTTCACAACCCAGAAAGCTTTTTTTACTTTTTTTAACATTACAAATAAATCAATCATTTTTATTTCTAAAAGTTGTTAGTTAATCGTTGAAAAAAAAATAACAATCCATCAACCATTTTATATTAAATATAATGTAAACAATATAAATATGTAACTTTCCTATTCCTTTCCTTTCCTTTTTCTTTTCTTTTATTTCTATCTTTATATTTTTTAGAATTGGGGGGAAATATTCCCACAACCTCAATTTTTGGAGGTTTTAAAATATTTTCTCCTGAAACACTTCATTTTGAATGCTTTTGTTATACTTCATAAATAAATAATGACTTACTTACTTACAGTTTTTTTTAGGTATAGTATTTTTGCTTTTTAAGTCAAACAAAATTCCAAAAATGTTAGTTAAAAACTTGAGCATGCTGTTATGCAATTCTTTAAAGAATTATAAAAAAGCTTACTTGGGAAAGAGAGTAGTTCCACATATTAAACCCTGATACCCTTCCTCGGAGGGATTGTTTGCTGTCAAATTTATAAATAAATCTGTCTGGTTCCTGGCCGATCATCATGGCATAGGGCAAACTTTTATTCTGCAATCGGACAAAATTGAAGGAATTCAAGGATTCATAATGATTCTTCAATTCACCGTTGAGGAACACTTTGTTAACTTTATCCTGGTAGATCCAGCAAATATGCTTCCAGGTTCGATGAGAATCAAAGCTAAATGCATCAAGTTAAAGATTATGTTTAAAGGGATTCTAGACGTATTTTATAGGGACTCTCCAGTTAAAGACTTATTTAAAGGGATATGTTTAAAGAGATTCTAGACGTATTTTAAAGGGACTCTCCAGTTAAAGATTTATTTAAAGGGATTCTAGACGTATTTTAAAGGGACTCTCCAGTTAAAGATTATGTTTAAAGGGATTCTAGACGTGTCTTAAAGGGACTCTCCAGTTAAAGATTATGTTTAAAGGGATTCTAGACGTATTTAAAGGGACTCTCCAGTTAAAGATTATGTTTAAAGGGATTCTAGACGTATTTTATAGGGACTCTACAGTTAAAGATTTATTTAAAGGGATTCTAGACGTATTTTAAAGGGACTCTCCAGTTAAAGATTGTGTTTAAAGGGACTCTAGACGTATTTTAAAGGGACTCTCCAGTTAAAGATTGTGTTTAAAGGGATTCTAGACGTATTTTATAGGGACTTTTCAGTTAAAGATTTATTTAAAGGGATTCTAGACGTGTCTTAAAGGGACTCTCCAGTTAAAGATTTATGTAAAGGGATTCTAGACGTATTTTAAAGGGACTCTCCAGTTAAATATTTATTTAAAGGGATTCTAGTCGTATTTTAAAGGGTCTCTCAAGTTAAAGATGTATTCAAAGGTATTCTAGACGTATTTTAAAGGGACTCTCCAGTTAAAGATTGTGTTTAAAGGGACTCAAGACGTATTTTAAAGGGTCTCTCAAGTTAAAGATTTATTCAAAGGGATTTTAGACGTATTTTAAAGGGACTCTCCAGTTAAATATTTATTTAAAGGGACTCTCCAGTTAAAGATTTATTTAAAGGGATTCTAGACGTATTTTAAAGGGACTCTCCAGTTAAAGATGTATTCAAAGGGATTCTAGACGTATTTTAAAGGGACTCTCCAGTTAAATATTTATTTAAAGGGACTCTCCAGTTAAAGATTTATTTAAAGGGATTATAGGCGTATCTTAAAGGGACTCTCCAGTTAAAGATGTATTCAAAGGGATTCTAGACGTATTTTAAAGGGACTCTCCAGTTGTGTTTAAAGAGACTCTAGACGTATTTTAAAGGGACTCTCCAGTTAAAGATTGTGTTTAAAGGGATTCTAGACGTATTTTAAAGGGACTCTCCAGTTAAAGATTTATTTAAAGGGATTCTAGACGTATTTTAAAGGGACTCTCCAGTTAAAGATTTATTTAAAGGGATTCTAGACGTATTTTAAAGGGACTCTCCAGTTTAAGCTTTATTTAAAGGGATTCTAGACGTATCTTAAAGGGACTCTCCAGTTAAAGATGTATTCAAAGGGATTCTAGACGTATGTTAAAGGGACTCTCCAGTTAAAGATTGTGTTTAAAGGTACTCTAGGCGTATTTTAAAGGGACTCTCCAGTTAAAGATTGGATTTAAAGGGGCTCTAGACGTATTTTAAATGGACTCTCCAGTTAAAGAGTGGCTTGTTCAATTCACAACGGATGCCCTTAAACCTCTATCTAAGGAACAAAAAGGAAGATTTTCTCTCTGAAAATGTGTCGAATTCTGACAATTTTCCTCATTGTATCTGCAGCATAAATCCGAAAGGTACTTTAAAAGACGAACTATTATTGAAAACAACCTATTTTCAATCATAAAGAAATGTCATTCATTCAAAATAATACTCAGTTCAAAAAGGGCACTCAATTGTGAATCGGACATAAATGAATAAAGGACCACTTGAAAGGATTTGAGTATTTGCCACACACTCTGATTGTCTAGTTCCTATATCTGAGCAACCCAATTTCGAAGACCTTAGATATTTCAAACTATGAATTAGCTGTTGGATCAAAGAATCTAAATTTGAAATATCAAAAGTCTACGTCATAAGGTTACAAACATAAAGGGATTATAACTTTTTAAGTCTTTGACAAAGACTCAATTCCTTTTACATACAATAAAAAGCTTAATGAATTGTGTACCTTGCAAACGAAGTCACTTCTTTTCTAAAATAGAAATATTATTTTTCTTACTTTTTCGATTTACAAAAATTAAAATAACAACTTCAGATTACCCGATTTCTGGATCTGCATAGAGTTCTGATATAATGGATATTTGTTTTCCATCCTGTCCTGTTGTTTTGTTTGGCATTATGTACATCTGCAGGCTGTACATATGAACATCTTCATCCGGTCCGGATAAAAATGTCCAAACAGTGCTAAAAAATTTGTAAAATCTCAAGAATGGGACAGTTTAAAAAAGGTAGGAATCAGGTGTTGGCTCTAATTAGAAAACAAGTAGAATTTGACTTGTATACAGAAATGTTGCCGCTTGCTTTTACTTTATTAAAGTATAAATTGTGATGGATCAAACAAGCAAAGATCTACACCGCTAGGTTGCAAAAATATGTGAATTAGAAAATTAGTGGGTTAGGCGAGTAATCAGTTTCTTTATTTACAAATTGTATTTGATAATTAAATCCATCGTTCAATAAGTATCTGACACATCTGACACATTAAGTTTTTGACAAACCTTTGTTCCTCGTTATAGAACTTGTTGTACATCCAGTAGCAGAGTGAGAATTGATCAAGATTAACCGAATCCCAATCTCCAGATACAGGTTTCATCTCAATCCAATCCGTCTCACCAATTATGTCCTCCTTAAAACAAGATAAATTAAAAAATATTTTAATAATCGATTTTATCACAATTGAGATATTGATCCTGTAAGGTAATGTAAGATTTCCAAATCAGAAATTCATTTTTTCAACTTAATTTTTCAACTTCTCTTGACTTTAAAGGGAGTGTCCTTGTAATTTTAAGTGACCCATTATCAAAAAAGGTACATGCTCATTCCACAACTATCCCTTTTACACATTTTAGTGGGGTGTCTGGATGAGATATCCATTTTTTCCGCTAAAACTTGATAATTTTCATTGTAGCTTTTATCAGGAAATGTAGAAAATAGTCAAAATGCAACACGTTTTACGTATGTGGAAAAAATTGTTTTATAATTTTTGAAAGAATCATGCATAGGATACCTTTGTGAATTGAACATGCCACTTTATAAAAGGATCTGGGTTCACCTGAAACTACTCTGGTAGATTTACCTGTATAGGAACTATAAATGTATTTAAACAGGAAACCAGTTTAGGAAAAGGTAGAGAAAGAATAAGAAGATAAGTAAACATTAGCTTTAGTAATATCATTTTAGTTTTTAACATTCCCATTCCTTTTACATCAGCAAGTTCAGATACAATTTTGAAATAAAACTTTTGGTATTTTATATTAGCGTGTAACAACCGATACCAGTGCTGAGCAAAGAGTAAACTAGAATTTATACTGTTTTAAAATTCTAGTCAACATTAAAGTAAATTGAAAATATAATGGTTTCATTTGTGAAACATATAAAACACCGCTAATAATGTTAAACAAATTAGGGAAAATATATTAACTTTACATTTCTAAAATTTTTATTATTCATATGGTTTAAGTTATATTTATAGTAACAATTGTTATGAGTTTCAATTCTATAAACGTTCTTGGTAAATATTTACAAATACACATTTTAAAAATTAAAATAATTTATCTTTATCTTTAATGTAATAATTTCATTAAAACAAACCTAACTAAAATCTTTGACCAGATATAAACCGGATATAAACCGGATAAAAACCGGATAAAAACCGGATAAAAACCGGATAAAAACCGGATAAAAACCGGATAAAACCGGATAGAACCGGATAAAAACCGGATATAGATCACATAATTTTCTAGGAAATTCCATTTTATGAAACTGCCCCATGGTATGGACTGATCTGCAATAATATAAACCAATGATAATTTTTTTTTAAATGTCCGGAACATTGATTAAACATTATAATTCAAATTCGAAATGCTCTAAAAATTATCATCTCCAGTATCCCTGGAGATATTGTAAACTTTTAAATATATCTGTTTATGAAAATTATCGTAAATTTGTACTGTAAACCTTCGATCGTAAGAAAAGTTAAATTATAAGTTTAAAACGAGCAATACGAACAGACTTTAATAAATGACCAACATGCTCAGACTTATCTCTGAGTTCCGTGCTAACCGTTAACTAACGGATAAAAAATGATTAACGTGCCCAGACTTATCTCTGAGTTTCATGCTAACCGTTAACTAACGGATAAAAAGACTAACTTGCCCAGTCTTATCTCTGAGTTTCATGCTAACCGTTAACTAACGGATAAAAAATGACTAACGTGCCCAGACTTATCTCTGAGTTTCATGCTAACCGTTAACTAACGGATAAAAATGACTAACTTGCCCAGTCTTATCTCTGAGTTCCGTACTAACCGTTAACAATTGGATTAAAAAATGACTAACCTGCCCAGTCGGATTAACAAAAAATGACTAAGGTGTCCAGTCTTATCTATGAGTTCCGTGCTAAACGTTAACTAACGGATTAAAAAAATATGACTAACGTGCCCAGTCTTATCCGTGAGTTTTCACAATAGCACATTCATCAAAAGTAAAATTACCTTAAATTTCTTTTATTGTGGTTTTACAATCAAAAGATTCATGAAAAATATTTCATAAGTTTGATAAATGTATGAAGACTCACGGTATGAATTCCATCAAACTACCTTTAATAATAATAAAAATATAATTTTATCGCGACGTACCACACAATCAAACAAATTGTATGACAAGGAACTATAAATTGCTCAATTTAAAATTTACAGCAGTGCACATCAAAGTGTGTTATGAATATTTGATTTAAAATAAGTATAAATTTATAACCTATAATAAAACAGTTTGAACCCTTTATTTCACAACGCGAGAATGAAATACTTTCCAAATTTTTTCAACGAGTATGATTAAGAGGAATGAGAAGTGTTAATATTGTTTTTTTTTGTTTTTAGTATGTTTTTGGTTGTATATTGTGTCATGTTTGTATCTTGCGTTAAATTTGTATATTGCGTTCATTTTTTTTATCTTGTGTGCATGTTCATATCTTGTGTTTATGTTTGTAACTTGTGTTTATATTTGTATCTTGTGTTCATGTTTGAATCTTGTGTTTATGTTTATATCTTGTGTTCATGCCTACATCTTGTGCTCATGTCTGCATTTTGTATTCATTTCTGTATCTAATGTTCATGTTTGTATCTAATGTTCATATCTGCATCTTGTGTTAATGTCTACATATTGTGTTCATGTGTGTTTCTTGTCTTCATGTCGATATTTTGTGTTCATGTCTGCATCTTCTGTTCATGGCTACATCTTGTGTTAATGTGTGTTTCTTGTCTTCATGTCGATATGTGGTGTTTATGTCTACATCTGTGTTAATTTTTTTAAATGATCATGTTTATATCTTATGTTAAAAATTATATCTTTTGTTCATTTTTATATATTTTGTTCATATTTATATCTTGTGTTAGTATTTTTATCTTGTGTTCATATTTGAATATTTATTGATAAATTGTGCTAATTTGAGAGCCTTGTGTTTGTAATTATATTTTGTTTTAAATATTTGTGATTCTTGTATTAATGTTCAATGTTAATGTTCATGCTCATGTCTGTTTTCTTTCTTATTACGTTTATGTGTGTATGTCTGTGAGCTCCCTGGCTGCTATAGTACCATATATTTTGAATACACTTGACCCACCCTTGTCTATATGTCTAGCAACTCCCTTCATACAAACTCATAATTTCAAGTTCTATCATCCAACCCTATCTAGTCAAAGTTTATTTTTATTATAAACAACGGGGATTTATTTTTCCAGTTAATGACAACTCCACATTGAACGTATACCTCCGACAATTTTAAAAAGCACAAAGATAGCACTATATAGCAGACCACATTTTATAAATTCCTCTAATTGTTTCTAAGTATAAAGACGACCTTCAAGTGATCCATCAACGGTCATGTTTCGTGAGATACCATGCATATAAATGACAAACTACTAATTTTTGTCGTCTTCTGTTGTCGACGCAAAGATTTTTAATCATGCCTTAATAAACTTCAGACAGGAGACTTCTGTAATATACATGTAATTTATTTCTACATTAAATAAATCTTTTCATCTATATTTTTAAAGTAGTAATCTCCGTTTGTTTGTTTGATTCGATGTTCGATATCGATCAGGTACCCCTTGACCGATTTGCCTCAAATTTTGATTGGGGAACTCAGGAGTACCACGGGAATGTGCTTAGTTTTATTTATAATGAAAAAGTGCTAAAATTGTAATTTAGACCAAGCGTGGGTAAACGGCGGGATTATTTATGAAAAACTTGGGCAACGCTGTGTTCCCAGGCCAGTAAATAATATATTTTCAAAATTTTGGAAAACTTAATTTAAAACCAAATTCCGAGATAAACTGAAACTTTCCATTAAAAGATTTGAGTTTGCATCATTAAGGAATAAATATAAATGTCCACGCAACTTTTTAGAGCCTAGAATCAGACCAGTTTAGAGCCTAGAATCAGACCAGTTTAGAGCCTAGAATCAGACCAGTTTAGAGCCTAGAATCAGACCAGTTTAGAGCCTAGAATCAGACTAGTTTAGAGCCTAGAATCAGACCAGTTTAGAGCCTAGAATCAGACTAGTTTAGAGCCTAGAATCAGACCAGTTTCAAGGAAAACAAACTAATTATTGAAAATATGCTTGATCACCATCTCTGCATTCCAGTTCCAGGGTGCTTGAAGATCCTCTTTCTTGTAATAATTTGTATTTACCTGCAAGTTTGCCACCTCTGTTTTAAAACATTAAAGCAAAAAAAAATAAAAGGTTAGCTGCATAACCTCGGTAAATTAAAAGTTTAGCTGGATAACCTCGGTAAATTAAAAGTTTAGCTGCATAACCTCGGTAAATTAAAAGTTTAGCTGCATAACCTCGGTAAATTAAAAGTTTAGCTGGATAACCTGGGTAAATTAAAAGGTTAGCTGCATAACCTCGGTAAATTAAAAGTTTAGCTGCATAACCTGGGTAAATTAAAAGTTTAGCTGCATAACCTCGGTAAATTAAAAGTTTAGCTGGATAACCTGGGTAAATTAAAAGTTTAGCTGGATAACCTCTGTAAATTAAAAGGTTAGCTGCATAACCTCGGTAAATTAAAAGTTTAGCTGGATAACCTGGGTAAATTAAAAGTTTAGCTGCATAACCTCGGTAAATTAAAAGTTTAGCTGGATAACCTGGGTAAATTAAAAGTTTAGCTGCATAACCTCGGTAAATTAAAAGGTTAGCTGCATAACCTCGGTAAATTAAAAGTTTAGCTGCATAACCTCGGTGAATTAAAAGTTTAGCTGCATAACCTCGGTAAATTAAAAGTTTAGCTGGATAACCTCTGTAAATTAAAAGGTTAGCTGCATAACCTCGGTAAATTAAAAGTTTAGCTGGATAACCTCGGTAAAATTAAAGTTTAGCTGGATAAAAATTTATTTTTTCCAAGTAAAAATTGTTTGTACCCTTTCTAGGCAGATCCCCCAAATAATTTAGATAAATCAACAAGCAAAGAGGGACGAAAATGTTAAAACCCCTCTTTATGGAATTAACTTTCTTAGATTTATTACTATTTCCAGTTTCTTTTTCCAGTTTACAATAAACATTATAACTGCACATTTTTCTGTTGTTTAGGAATTATGTATTTGCCACAAAATCTAATTTTCTAATTCCTAATTCTTTGCAATCAGATGGTGTATACCTTCGATATTAAAAACTTAGATTATTTGATCTTACTGAATTTATAGTTAGAAATATTTAAGGTTTACGACATTGGGTGCAAAGATATAGGGAATCAAAAATCATAGTTTATGGGTAAGAATCAAATCTTTTAACGAGGAAAAATTCGTAACTAAATTTTTAAATTGTATTAACATCCAGTCCCCGAAGTGCTGTTAGATTAAAAAATCTATTTGGTTAGGTAGATAGATAAATGATAATTTAATCTAGACACTGGTGAAATCAAATGAAAAAGACAGAAGTTCTGATAGATCATATTAATGTTGACAGATTCAATCTTCTCTCCCCAGGGTACAGATAGAGATAGATACACAATTAGATAGATCAGTAGATAGATAGATACACCACTAGATAGATCAGTAGATAGATAGATACACCACTAGATAGATCAATAGATAGATAGATACAGCACTAGATAGATAAATAGATATATAGATACAGCACTAGATAGATCAGTAGATAGATAAATACAGCACTAGATAGATCAATAGATAGATAGATACAGCACTAGATAGATCAGTAGATAGATAGATACACCACTAGATAGATCAGTAGATAGATAGATACAGCACTAGATAGA